CGTCCTAGTCTCTTCATACTGTAAAACACGAGGAGGTTGCCGATGCCGGGACTCGGACTGCTATCGGCTGTTCTCACGTCCTAAAGGGTCTCGGCTGAGGTGCATATAGGAATTCTGGGGCCACTCCCAAGAGGTGTCGGTCAGTTTTCGGTAGAACCAAAATCAGCTGAGAAATGTTTCCCAGTCTGAGCGTTAATCTCGTATTTGGTGAAATGCTATTTTGTAATAGCATTATTAATCATGATAGCAATTTTAGTATAATAATCTATTCAGTAGTAATATGTGCAAGTTATATTATTAAATATATTATACACAGATATATTATATTGATATTAATATGTTTGTCAATATCATATTATACGAATATTCGTAATAATAATTCAACAACATAACTTTTATATGTTCTTATCAATCTAATAATTTATTTTATGCAAACATGTGTTATTATCATTATTTTAAAAAATAATTAAATATATAGTACTAATAACTATTTAAGTAGTATATCGTATAATGGTAATATTCGTAATAAAATCATTCCTGTACATGCTATTTGCTTGACTGCATCTGGGCGTCATCTGCCTTCTCCCCTTTGTGGCGTTGCCATCCTCATCCTGCACAGCCGGTCGACCCTTGTCTGTCGGGAGCTGCTTGTCACAATCCAGATGCTGTCTGCGAAACGGTCTGGCAGTCGGCAAACGTCTCCAGTCCACCTGCCCCGCCCAGCAACGGGTCAACTGGTCACCGACCGGCTGAAGGCGACATGACGTCGCCGGTGACCGGTTTACTCGTCGGCTTCCGATGCCACTGTCCGGCGGGCTTTGTGGGACCCACTTGCGAGGAGTCGGTGGACGCTTGTCAACAGCACAATTGCCGCAACGGCGCCACTTGCTTCAACCGGCGCTCGGCCGGTTACGTCTGTCTCTGCCCGACCGGTGAGTTGAGCACAGACGTGTCTTTGTGGCCGGCAGACCGGAAACACGCGGCAGCCAATCGCAGACCGTCACGGTCCACTGACTTTGTCGAACGAACGAGGCAACCGACCGAAATGCCGGCAAAGCGGCTGGATTTGGTGCCATCTTGGAACGGGTACGAAAAGGGACTTGCAGCTGTGAAGATGTCGGTCGAGGGGCGCACGAAAGTTCGGCCCATTTCGAGCGGAAACGAGAGAGCGAGTCTCGTCGAAGCCTTCGCCTCGAAAGTTCTGTCAAAGCCAAATATCGGCAGACGAGTGGCGATGAGCCATCGTCTTGTGGAAAGTTCGACGATGCCGAAATTAGTTGCTCCCCAACGATGCGCGAGGATTAATTGGATTTCGATTAATCTGCAAAGATGACATTGTTCGAGAGATTCTTCCCTTCGTGTGGAACGGCATGAAGAAGTGATTCGAAGTTGATGCAGTCCACGAGACATCCTCTCTTGTTCAGGGTCAAAATGCGGACTCGAGTCAGCAAAAGACAATTAAAAAACATGGAATCATTCGCTCAATCGTCGAACGTATCGGTCCTGCTATTTTGTCTGTGTGTGTGTGTGTGTGCGTCTATAGAAAAATAGAGGTCCTAAATCAGAGTTATCAAAATGCCAATGTTATGCTCGGATCATCAACGCCTAACGATCCAAGAGGAAGAAGCCCTGATCGAGACCGCGTAAGTCTGTAAGCAAGTATGGTTGAGATGATGCGATATGAGCTTGTAAGTGTGCAGGTCAAGCTACGAAACCACTTGTCTTAACCTCTTAGTCGAGGGTGATTGGCGTTTTACCCCAACATGTTGGAT